ATTATAGAAAAAAAAAAAAAGAAACTGAAGTAAGCATAAAATATTAAAGTGGATCACATTTAGTAAGTAGCTATAATCTCTTCCAGTTCGTGCCTCTAAATGTCATGGACAGTTTCCAATTTTTTATCTGTAGTTCAGGACTCTCTAAACCCGACTCATTTAAGTAACTCTACTTGCATTTTTAATAGACATCTCAGCCTCAACATGTCCAAACATGAACTCCTGATCTTCATTTTCAAAGTAGTTCCACCTGAAGACTTTGTCAATGTAAACTCATTGCCAAAGAGTTACAATTTACTCACAGCTGACCCTTCAGTGGGTTTTCAGAGGCTGTAAATCACATAGGGGACGATTACTCCTCTTTCTTTCTCAGAGCAGATGGTGAATTCAGACCACTTGCCTTTGAGTTGGCAGTGCAACTTATTACCTCTTAGATGATTATTATAGCCTTTATAGGTGACATCAATTTTATCTTCTCACATTTAGCCATTTAAGCTACAGTCCCTAGAGTTTTTGTCTTGTTTCAAATTTCTTTTCTTTCCTAAGACACCACATCCCATCTGTCAGGATATCTTATTGAGTGAACTTTCAGAATCTAATCACTTTCCAACAACTGTATGGCTTCCACCCTGGTCCAAGCTACCATAATCTCATCTCCTATCCAGATTTAGGAAATAGCTTCCCAATAGACTTCTCTACTTCTCACTGGTTTCTCTATAGTCTATCATCAACACAGCAGTAATTATGATCTTATAAAACAGCAAAGGGTCAGCAATCTTTTTCTTAGAGGGTCAGTAATTAAATACATCAATTGTGTAGGCCAAAGGCAAAGTCAAGGATATTATGTAGGAATATGAAAGAAAATTAATTTCCAAAGTTTTTGTAATGATAAAATGAAAAATGGAGTAAGGATGATAATAATAAAGTACAATTTCTTTTTAATAGTACACAACTGTTGTTGTTGTTGTTATGTGCCGACAAGTCAGCTACGACTCATAGTGACCCTATGTACAATAGCTCGGAACCATGCACTATCTTGAGCCAGTCTCACTAAATCCAACACCCTGAATCCCACCACCCCAGTTATTGTGTAAATCCATCTCATCAGGGGCTTTCCTATCCTGGACTGTCCCTCCACCCTTACAAGCATGAAGTCCTTCTCCAAGGACTGGTCTCTCTTGGTTATGTGCCTAAAGTAAGTGAGACAGAGCTTCAAAATCCTTGTCTCCACAACGAATGAGAAAAAAAACAACAACTTAGCTTAATTTGCTTTCAAAGTCAATGCTCTCCACCATTAAATTGGTTGCAAATATTAGTCTGTAGAAATTATTCTTGTCTAGGTCATACAAAAGTAGGCAGTGGGCTGGGTTTAGCCTGCAGCTATAGGCTGCAGATCCTTGTTTTAAAATATACCACTTTTCTCTCAAAACCTGATGCACTAATTTTCTATTGTTGTATAACAAATCCTACAATTTAACAACTTAAAATTAAACCCCTTCATTATCTCACAATTCTAAGTCAGAATCAAGACAAGCTCAGCAAGAGTCTCTGTTAAAGGTCTAATAAGGTCAAAGTCAAGGTATGCTCTTTTAGGAAGATCTAGGAAATAATCCACTTCCAAGCTCATAGAATACTGTTCCCTGTGGTTATGTGTCTCAGGTACATATTTCCTTACTTACTGTCAGCTGAGGGCCACTGTGAGTGAGCTTCTTTCCCCCCTCCACTCTCCACTCTGAGCTTCTACAAGACACTGGCATTCCTTGTCATGTAGGCTTTCCATCTTCGAGGCATTCAACAGTGCACTGAATCTCATGTTTTGAATCTGACTTCCTCGTCTGTTAACAGCTGGGTAAAATGCTCTACATTTAAAGGTTTCATCTGATTGGCTCAAGCATACCCAGATAATATCCACATTTCAAGATAAAACTGATTTGAAACTTCAATTATAGCTGCAAAATCCCTTTACAACAGTTTCTAGGTTAGTGTTTGCTGAATAACCAGGGGACAAGAACCTTGATGGAGGTGATCTTTATAATTCTGTCTACTATACCCAGCAATAGCTTCCTGCTCAGAGTGAAAAGGTACTATATGATCTGTGCTATCTGCTCTCTTCCAACACCCATGCCTGCCCCATTGTATCTCTAACCTCACACTATTTATTACTCCCCTCTGGTTTACTCCATTCATTCCCAAACTAATGTCAATTATACTCTCAATTTCGGGTCTGTGCTCGACTCTGCCTGAAATGCTCTTTTTTTTACATTTACTTTGTTAACTACCTTACCTCCAATCTTTGCTCATTTCACTTTTTAAATGAAGCATATTCATTCTGACCATCCTATTCAACACTATCACCTTCACTCTCCCTTCTTATACTCTTGCTCTATGGCAATGAGTTTAAGTTGACAAAGGCTACAGATGGAACTGCTTTGAAAAGGGGACATTGCTTATTTTCTCCTACACTGTTCTACTTTCTCCCCTACTATATTTGCTACAAAAAGCATAGTGGCATAGTTTAGTACATTCTGCAATACTAACTGAAAGGCTGTTGTTGTTGTTATGTGCCATCAAGTCTCTTGCGACTCATAGCGACCCTATGAACAAGAACTCTAAACTCCGTTCTATTCTGTGCCAACCTAGCCATCTCAAATGCACTCATTTCCACCACTCCAGCCACAGAATCGATCCATCTCATCAAAGGTCTTCCTCTCCTGCGCCGCGCATTCACTCTGCCAAACATGATGTCCCTCTCCAAGGACCAGTCCCTCCTTGCAACATGCCCAAAGTATGTCAAACGAAGCTTCAGAATCCTTGACTCCAAGGAGCATTCCGGCTTCACCTGTTTGTTCTCCTAGCAGTCCATGATATATATTTAACACTCTTCTCCAGCACCA